CCATTTGTGTAGCCTCTGAAGTTCAAAAATTTAGCAATGCCCTCTCTTTATTTAGTCATAACATTCCAGAAGACAACCTATACAATTTGCTCTGGTTTTCTGTTGCCATACAATCACGATTTACTCCATTCTCCCAGTCCAAGCTCGATGGCCTCGATGCAACCAGTCCAAGCACGACCTCCGGAAAATGACGCGGCCTGGACGTCAACCGCGGTGGCCGCGTACTGCAGCAGGGCTCGAGCACCACACAGCTGGCGCCCGGGAAACCGGCCTCTGCGTGGCCAGCGGGAAAGGCGGAGAACGCCCCGAGGAGCCTAGCTGGGCGGCGTGGCATCCAGAACGAGGAGACCCGGGCGCCGAGGGAGGAAGAAGAGAAGGGAGGCCGACGCATGTGCTCGCGGGCCAGACGGCAGCGGAGGGGAAGGAACGAATGGCGACGGCGGCGGACTGCGGACAGGAGCCGACCAAGTCGCATCCTGCACGTTGTTATGGCCTGCTAGATAGTCTGTGACATGGGGAACGTGAGATGGCCTGATGGATGAAAAATTTCAGTATTTGACCCCCACTTCACACGCCCCTCCAGATTTGACACTTAATTCGTAAGCCTTTCCAAATATAATCTTGAGCACGCTAAATCTTTAAATATGAGTGATTTCTCTCTTTTCTCTCCTTTTCTAATTCTAATATATCTTGGGCACTATTTGGGACACAAGAAAAGACATTTCTGCCCTCCCTCTAAAAAGAGTCTGGATGTTCGCTCAGGCCGTACGCGCGCTCGCTAGGGTCGTTCTAGGCGTCCCCTCACCGGATCTCACGGTCTCTTCCCCAAGGGCCGTTCCCCTTCCCCAAACTGCATAGATCTAACATATATTTAATAAAAAATTAATGTAAACAAAGTACAAATTATAATCAAATTTCAGGATAGAAAAAGTAACCATCCAGATAATTTAAGAGTATAACTAAACATACATAAGAGGTTCCCTAGACAAAATTACCATCCACACATGAGAGGTTCACTGGACAAAATAACCATCGAGACATAAGTTCACATAGACAAAAGAACCATCCAGCATGGGAATACAGAACCATACAAAGGACTCATAACATGGTTCTATGGTTATTCAAACATCGTTCTTTTTTCCCTTGGAGTGAGCTTTTTCTTCAAACCCAGGCGCTTTCTTGAAGTGCTCACAGCATTACTTGTCCCTTCTCCCGTTTAACTGAATAACATGAAAAATAGAATGGTTTAGTAGATGACCAAAGGTAAGTATGTACATGTTTAATTGGGCTTGTATTGAAGCATTTTACCTTCTTGTCACAACTCTTGGGCTTGTAGTGATCTAATTTGTCCCTCCATGTTCCACCATTGTTAATTGCATTTGGCTAAAAATAAGACTACAAGTTTAGCCCAAAATAAGAGATTGTACAGATCCAAGTAAATGATGAGTTCATAGAATGTCACCTTCTCATAACATGTCCAGGGCTAGTGTTCATTTGACTTGCCATGGTTGATGCCACAGGTCCAGGAACTGCTATTCACTAGATTTTCTTCCACATTAACCTTCTGCCTTTTGGATGGACTTGGAGTTGCATCACCTTTCGTACAACCAACATGCCTACCTGTCTTCCCTTTCTTGGCTCGACTTTTTCTGTAAATGTAGAATTAAGATAAGTTGAAAATATGAAGCAAGTATGAGTTAGTTAAAAAAAGGTATACACATTTACCTCTTCTTGGTTCCATTGAAAGGGTACTTTGGAGATGTCCTCCTATGGCCAAGATCCAAACAATTTTTACACGTAACCTGCCACATACCTTTGCCTCTGGAGGGCTTGTTTCCTTTGTTCTTAGTGCAGCTAGGAATTTTTTTCCTTTGTCTTCCAACATCTCTCTTGCTGAGAGGTGGCAACACTTTGAATCTAGAATCCACTTTCACTCATTGAGACTTATCAAGTAGTGGTTTGATCACATCATCATAGGCTAGTCTAAAATAGTACATTGAATAGTAAGGATGCAGATACTCTTCCATCTTAGGATTTCTACGTGTGGTTATGAGTAACAAAGCATGTCCACATGGTTTTCCTGAGACTTGCCACTCTCTGCAGGTGCATGTGTGGTTTTGAATATCAACCACATGTCTTATGATCTTTTGTGAAGCAGTTACCTCCATCACCTCTGCTTCATCCCTTCCACCTTCTTTGTGTTTCAAGTGACTCAACTGCCGACTCATTGCATATAGTTGGCGAACAACAATCGACAACATTACATGTCCTTCAAATTTCTCACCTATTCTTCTCCGTCTTGCATAAAGTTCCATGAACTTGGACCTAAGAGTGTCGGCAAGGTTAGCTATGGGAAGGTCCTTGATGTCTTTCACCCAATTGTTCCAAACCTCTGTCACATTATTAGTGATATGGTCACACTTTATTTCCTCTGAGAATTTGCTCCTCATCCACTTCAACTTGTGATTTGCTGGCTCAACCTTTTTATTCATTGCATACATCTTGTTCATTAAGTACTCATGGTACTCTGGTTGGAAAGTCCTAGCCGTCAGGGTACATTCTCCCAAATGTAGGCCCTTCAAACCTCTTGCTAAAATTCTTCATCAGATGGAGAAAACATTCTCTATGTTCTGCCCAAGGGTACACCTTCTTCACTGTATTTTCTAGGCCCTTGCAAGCATCTGAACATATAGCTAGGTGAGGTGGATTTTCAATTGCCTTTTGCAGCTGCTGCATAAACCAAGTCCAATTATCAGTAGTCTCACCATCAAAAAACCCAAATGTAACTGAAAACATCTGGTTGTGTCCATCTAGTGCTGTAGCTGAAGGCATGTGGCCATCCCATCTACCACTGAGAGCCGTTGGGTTAATATAAAAAATGGCCTACAACCATTTAGAAACCATCAATGCTTGGTTTCAGACAACAAAAAAAACATATGGAAAAATACACCTTCCTCTGTATGCACAACATCTATCTCTACAACACTTCCTAGCATTTTGAGCTCAATCTCTGAAGTTAAACAAATATCCAAAACTTTCTTCCCATGTACTAAAAATTTGTTGTTCTACCACGTCCTTACCGAGGTGCACGGTTGAATAGCCTATTTTCACTTGATACTTCTCCTCTAACTCTTCTTGTATTTTCTTGGCACCTATGTTTGGATCCTTCTTTAGAAGAGGAATTGTTTTCGCTGCCACCCAATGGTATGTTGCCATCTTGGTCCTCACTCTCCCAGTAGAAGGACAAAAATGCTTTTCTTTATTCAATGTAATCTGTAAAATTAAAACAAACATGTTACCAACCTTGAAAAATTAAAATAGATATGCAGGACAAATAAAAGTACATAATATATTAAGTTAGCATGTTGTCTGTGAAAAAGTGTTTGTACCCTGACTTGTTGCTTATCTCGCATCAGCCTTGCTACAATAGACTATGGACAACCATCAGCTTTATAGTACCCTCTGAACAAATATTTGCAAGATTTCTGTGTTCCAAGTTCAAACTGTCCCATTATACCATGTTGCCTTACTGCAGCTCGGAATTCATCCATGCTAGGATATATGGTTCCAACTTTTATTGGAGGGTTTTCTCTGTCATAGAATACAGAATCCTCATCAGGTATATGATCATCAACCAACAACTCTCCATCCTGAAGCTCAAGATCATCAACGTTACTTTCATTCTCCTTTTCAGCAGCCATCCTAGCTTGCTCAGCTATCTCATCCTCTGCTCTAAGGCCAACAAACTCATACATTGCTTCCTCATCCATCACAGGGAGTGCAACCCCAATCTGATCTTATGCAAGAGGAATTATCTCCAGAGTGTCCCAATAAATTAGAGGAGAAACAACTGCCTCATTGTTGCAATCCCCTTGTCCCGCGGCATTATCATGCCCCACATTGCTCACTGCTGCCTCTGTAACAGCTGAGTTCGAAATCACATCTGCGGGTTTGTCCACAATATCAACAAACAAGAACATTTTTTTATCATCCATCCTTTTAGAAAATGCAAATTCAAGTTCTGCATCATCCACCAATTTTCTTTCTCCACCACCACTCAAGTCAAATTCGTGTGTTATAGGCTGCTGGCCGCTTCCCCAGTTCACCCTAGCTTCCAAGTCCTTTTGTAGCATCTCTGAAGTATAACATCGATAATACACAGCCCATTCAAACAATATTCGTGGCACATCAACAGAGCAACCATTGTTCAACTTAGCAGTGAACTAAGAAAACTAAACACACAACCTAAATGCCCCATCCGGATCCGGATCGATTCTACCATGTACCAACAAAATAAATAAGAGAGACACAATATCAACCTTGTGCCCCCAAAACAACAGGATCTGCATAACAGAAAATAGAGGGATTTAGGATTGGAGCCATTACCCTAGAGGAGCCATGAGCCTGAGGAGGACACTGGCGGCGGGCAGTGGAGGGTGGAGGCCGCCGGCGCGCCGCGGCAGCATGTAGCCGCGGCCCAAACCCTAGCGCCCCGACAGCCTGCGCACAGGTGGAATGCTCTGCGGGTGAGGGCTGCGGCGGGCTGTTGGAGATGCGTGGAGCTGGTGGTGCTGTAGTGGTGGTGCTGGCCGGCGGTGGTAGGTTACCGGGGCCGGAGTTGACGAGCCCCAGGTGGCGGCGCTCGAGCGTGTCCTGCTCCCGTCGCGAGTTACGCTTCAAGAAAGGAGAGGATTTATTGGAATTAAGAAAAGAGAGAAAAAAGCAAGAATCCCTCATATTTAAAGAATTGGCATGTACAGTGTTATATTTCGAAAGGCTTACAAATTTAATGTCAAATGTGGAGGGACGTGCTAACTGAGGATTCAATATTCAAATTTCTCTGGATGGAGCGGACGGCGCAGATCGCTCCACTGCAGAGAGTAGTCAGCCTGGTCGTTCCCCAATCCACACGCGCCGCCACTCCACTCCGCGACTTCGCTCCAGCGCCGCCCCAGCCCCAATCCTCTTCCACTCCGCTCCGCTCCAGCGCGGCGGCGACCATGGAGGAGCAGCAGTTTCAAACGAGCGTGGACGTCAGCGTGAGCAACATGCAGCGCGACGGCGTCGACGTTCCCGATCCGTTGACGCTGGGCACGGCCATGATGCTCACGTATGCGTAAGACGCCATCCCCGACCCACCCCTGTCTCCCTCCGCGCCCCTCGCCTCCGCCATCGCCGCGCGGGCCCCAGCCGACGGCGTCGACTGCGTCAGCCTCCTCCCCGACTCGCTGCTCAGGAACGTCGTGTCGCGCCTCCCCGCCAAGGACGCCGCGCGCACCGCCGCGCTCGCCACGCGCTGGCGCGGCCTCTGGCGCTCCGTACCCTTCGCCGTCGTCGACGCCCACATCCTCCCGGACAGCGTCCCGGCCGACCACACGATGCCCGGAGGCGAGGACGTCCTGTCCTGGGCCGTCGCCGCCGTGGCGTCCCGCGTCCTGGACGCTCACCCGGGCCCCTTCCGCTGCGTCCACCTCTCCCGCTGCCACATGGCGTCGCACCAGGCCGACATCGAGCGCTGGCTGGAGCTCCTCGCCGCCAAGAGCGTCCAAGAGCTCGTCTTTTTCAACCGCTCGTGGCCGATCGACCACCCTCTCCCAGGCGCGCTCTACGGCTGCACCACCGTCACCCGCCTGCACCTCGGCATGTGCAGGGTCCCCAGCACCGCCGGGCTCCCGCACACCACATGTTTCCCCTACCTCCGGGAGCTTGTCCTCGACACGGTCGCCATCGAGGAACGAGACCTCCACTTGCTGATCGACCGGAGCCCCGTCCTGGAGGTCCTCACCATCACCACAAGTCCACAAACCAGACCGGGGCTCGAGTCCGGCTGATCAGCCACAGCCTGCGGTGCGTGCAGGTGACCACGTCTGCCGAAGTGCACATCACTGTGGTGGACGCTCCTCGTCTGGAGAGGCTGCTCATGTGGATGATATCACCTGCCGTGCCAGGCGAGAGTTGCTCAAGGATCAAGATTGGCCATGCACCCAACCTGTGCATGCTGGGACATTGGCAGCCGGGATTTGAACTGGAGATTGGCAATACCATCCTCAAGGTCCTAATTCCTGCTTTAGCTTGTATATTTGTGTCAATAGAGTGTGCCAATACTTATTGTGATCTAAATTTCTGCTCTGGTGCATTTTATTTGCACATTTTGCATTGCAGGTGGGTACTAAAATGAGCCCAAGCACCATGGTCCCATCCGTCAAGATCTTGGCTTTGGAGATGGGATTTGAAGTCCACAATGAAGTCAAAATGATGCCTTGCTTTCTCAAATGTTTTCCCAACGTCGAGAGGCTACATGTCTTCGTAAGACTTGCCAACCCCATCTCGTCTATTTGGCATCTAGCATCAATGGCACCAAGGCTAGCTTGCTAGCTTGTTTTATAGGTTCTAGTTGTGTGACTATTGACTCAGAACAATAGCTATCTGAACTATGTATGCTTTGATTTGATCTCATTGTAGTCATTGAATGATGCCCCCAGTGGAAAGGTTGATCCCAAGTTCTGGAAGGGGAAGGAGCCTGGTTGTATTGATTGCGTCCAGAGGCATGTGAAGAAATTTGTCTTCCAAGAGTTTCGGGGTAAGAAAAGTGAGCTGGCGTTCCTCAAGTTCATTGCTGAGAGAGCGCAAGTCCTGGAGAAGATGGTGGTCATGGTGGCCTCTAAATTCTTCTCTTCAGCAGATGCTGTCAATGACAAGCTGAAGCCTCTGACTTCTGCAATATGGGCCAGTAAAGACTGTAAACTGATTGTCTTCAAGAGTCCATCCTCTGATGAGGCATCCCCTGCCTGGGCTTCCAAAATAGCATCTGATTTTTCATGTAGCGACCCTTTTGATCTTCTGACCGCTGATTCTGAACTCTGCAGTGGTGCCTCTGTGCTTCAACATTCCAGCACTCTCTGAGTCTGCAGCCAACAACATACAAGCTAAGCCAAAGAAGATCAGGAATGTTTCTGCTAGCATAATTGATGTAGGTGTTGGAGTTACTTAGGAGCACCATTTCTCTTGCAAAATTCTACTGTCTGTTTTTGGGATACTACATTCAGTTCTGCTAAACTTTATGTCTGGATAGTTGTGGGAGTAATGGATAATTGGATAAATCTAAGCTTAACTGTTGTTTCATATCTCAGCACATTCCTGTGGAGTGTTTATTAAGAATTTGGCATCCTGAATCTAGATTTATTCTGCCACAGTTTGTTATTTTGCATTTATTGAAGCTAGGTTGATTAATTTTCTATGCATTTATGTTGTGATGTTGGTGTTCCTTAATTTGGTCAAGGCTTGTATCAAAATCGCATTGGTGTAAAAGTTTATGTTACCCTGCGATACGACAATGTAGTGGGTTTGTCCCCCTTGTTGTTCCTCTTAGTATGATATTCTGTCCGATGCGAATGTTGTCCTATGACATTTGGTTATGTCCGCCATAGTTACAGATGTGTACAGTGAACTGAAACATGTTCACCACAAAAACTGCTGGATATGTAATTTGCTTGCTGTGTGCATCCTCAATGCAGAGGTTGGAATACTGTATTCCAATTTCTTAATAGAAATGGTTTCCGGTAGTGAATGTGAAATCATAGGTTGCTTTGTTTTATATTTTGTTAATTCATTAACTGTGTAAACTTGAGTCAGTCAAGTTCCTTTTTTTCGTGTCCGAGTCAGTCACACTTTGAAAATGCCCTTTGGCATTGTTTGATGACATACCAATTTCCTTTCGGAATCCTGCTTGATCTTTCACATTTCCTTGCAAGCCAATTGTCATCAGAGTTATCTATGTACCGTTTTCCTGGTTCATTGTACTGTGTATCCCATGATATTTCACAACTATCAACTCCATATAGATTGTTTTTCCGATCTTTTGATACCGACACTAAATCTTTTATTCTTCTACTTCCATCTTAGGCCTTGTTTGGATGTATGTGTATCCACCTTAATCCACATGTGTTGGAATAGAGTGGAATGGAATTTAGTTCAATTCTACTCCAATCCATTTTAACACATGTGGATTGAGATGAATATATGCGTATTCAAACAAGGCCTTAGCGCAGGAGATTTGAGGACCTGCTTAACCAGTTGTCGGGCCCTTTTTTTTCTTTTGCAGTTTTGCTTTGCATTAAATGTTATTAAATGTTTAACCTCGAGTCAAACATTTTGCTTTGCCGTAGACCCGTAGTGCAAAGTGTTGTGTTGTACATAAACTCAGGGCATAGTCTGTGAGTTTTTCTGTCCAAGACTTTTAGATGAGATGTACAAGCTTCAAACTGAGTTCATGTGACATCCAGAAGCTTGCAGGTGACATAAAAAACTTTCAGTTGAGATGAACTCGTGAACTTTCAGTTGTTTGACAGAACTCTGGAAGACAATATGGAAGTCACTGAGATTTTTAATTTTAAATAGATGAATACCAATTCAAGAACTGTGTACCACTGTAGTCATTTTTCTTTTCCTTTTTCTCTAACACATCATTTATACTGCCGTATGTCCCTGGCCTGGCTGCAAGGCTGCTTGGTTTTGTTGGTCTATTCTTATCACATGGTCATAGATCTAGCTGGGTACATCATGTAAATGTATAGTATGTCCTAGTACATGAACTAGACTACCGACCATCGTAGGCCTTTGATCCAGAGGCGTCAGTCATGGGCGTTGCGTCGGTGTCTGTGCGAGGGCAGCGACGGTCGGTGAAGACGGTGTTGGTGATGAGCAGTGGCGACCGGCGGTGAAGACCGATGGCGACGCAGTGCAGTGGTGGAGGTGCTTCCCGTCACTGGCTGCGTCCCTCACTAGATCGGGTTTAGGGTTTGTCGGTAGGGAGCTCGGCTCAGGCGAACCTCGTGACTTGAGCCGCCGGCCCCCACCTCTATTTATTTCACAGTGTGACAGGGGCCCTCCAGCCATAGTAGGCTGGGCGCCCCCGATCAGGGCGCGGATCAAAGGCCCAACTGGGCTGTTGGGCCCAGTTTGAGATTAGAGATCAATCTAACAATCTCCCCCTTGATCTCCTACCATTTTTCAATTTCATATCATTTACTTTTGTTCATTCCATTACAGATTAGCGCATAGAGCATGTTTCATCGTCACGGTCAATTGCCAATAGATTTAACAGCTACAACACACCACTCTGTTCTGAAATAGATACTTAACTTTGGGCTTTCTTTTGTTCAGAAATTATAGTCTTACCCTTAAACCTATGCCGGCTATATGTTCTCTGAACACGTTGGGTAGTAAGCCTTTTGTAAGCGGATCCACGAGCATCTTTTCGGTACTTATATGCTCAAGACTTATGACATGATTCCGGACTTTATCTTTCACAACATAATACTTTATGTCAATGTGTTTGGCAGCATCACTTAACTTATTGTTGTGAGCATATTGTACTGCCGGATTATTATCGCAGTATAACTTAAGAGGTCTATAGATGTCATCAACCACCTTCAAACCGGGTATGAACTTCTTTAGCCAGTTCACCTGCCCCATTGCCTCATAACACGCTACAAACTCGGCATACATTGTGGACGATGTAGTGACGGTTTGCTTTGAGCTTTTCCATGAAATAGCTCCCACTGCGAGAGTGAATACATATCCAGACGTGGATTTTCTATCATCTCCCGTATAATCAGAATCTAAATATCCCACTATATGGAGTGAATCAGATCTTCTATACGTCATCATGAGGCTTTTCGTTCCTTGCAAATAACGTAAGACTTTCTTTACTAATTTTCAGTGTTCTGTTTCAGGATTGATCTGGAATATACCAAGTAACCCGGTAACAAATGCCAAGTCAGGGCGCGTACATACTTGAGCATATTGTAAGCTTCCGACAGCTGAAGCATATGGAACCGCTTTCATTTGATCGATCTCATATTAGTTTCTGGGGCATTGAAAATCCTTATATATGTCGTCCTTGACTATAGGAGCAGGTGAGGGATTACATTTGTGCATACTAAATTTCTTTAAGATCCTTTCTATGTATGCCTTTTGTGACAGTCCTAATACCCCTTTACTTCTATCTCGGTGAATCTCGATCCCTAGAACGAACGAGGCTTCGCCAAGATCTTTCATATCAAATTTTGAGGACAAAAACTTCTTTGTCTCCAGTAGTAGACTGACATCACAACTAGCAAGTAAGATATCGTCCACATACAGGACAAGGAAGATAAACTTCCCATTCTTAAACTTTGCATAGACACAATTGTCCTCAACATTCTCTTTAAAACCAAAATTCCTTATTGTCTGATCAAACTTCAAGTACCGCTGTCTTGAAGCTTATTTTAATCCATAAATGGATTTCTTTAGGCGGCATCCCATTTGTTCTTTTCCTTCCATGACAAAACCCTTCGGTTGTGCCATGTAAACATTTTCCTCTAAGTCGTCGTTGAGAAATACCGTCTTTACATCCATTTGATGTAATTCTAAATCGTAACGTGCCACTAATGCCATTATGATTCTGAAGGAATATTTACATGAGACTGAAGAAAATGTCTCATTATAATCAATCCCTTCTCTTTGCGTAAAACCTTTTGACACAAGTCACGTTTTATATCTCTCTATATTCTCTTGAGAGTCAAGTTTTGTTTTGTAGACCCATTTACAGCCTACTGTTTTGGCTTCTTTAGGAATTATTTTCAAGTCCCAAACTTTATTGGCATTCATAGATTTTATTTCATCTTCCATGGCATCAAGCCACTTTGTTGAATAATCACTTCTCATGGCTTCTCCAAATGAGGTGGGATCATCCTCCATTTGAAATTCCTCAGTGTTGTATACTTCATAGTCTGCAGGAATAGCTGATTTTCTAACTCTTTGAGACCTTCTAGGGACCTCCACATTTGACACATCTTCTGTTTGAGGCTGTTGTTGCTCCCCCTCATGTGTGGCAATAGGTTCTACAAGATCCTAAAGAACAGGTTCCTCATCGTCATTCATTGTTGCACAGGCGAGGTTCCTCATCGTCATTCATTGTTGCACAGGCAGAATAACAACAGGTGCTGGCACCACAGTATCTTGTACTGTCGGTGCAGCGACAGCAAGTAGTGAGAAAAATGGCTCATGAATCATCGGAGTGGGCGCATACACCCGCTTCTCTTCAAGGTCAATTTCTCGAGCTACCATGCTCCCCCTCATCATTTCATCCTCTAGAAACACAGCGTATCTTGTTTCCACAAACTTTATATGTCTGTCTGGATAGTAGAAACGAAAACCTTTTGACTTTTCTGGACAGCCAATGAAATGGCAACTTACTGTTTTTGGATCTAACTTCCCAATGCTTGGGTTAAATACTTTAGCCTTAGCAGGACTCCCCCACACACGTAAGTGATTTAGTGAGGGTACTCTTCCTGTCCACAACTCATACAGTGTTTTGAGCACCGACTTACTTGGTACTCTATTGATAATATGAATGACGGTTTTTAAGGCCTCCATCCACAGGCTCAACGCTAAGGTGGAGTAACTTATCATAGTGCGCACTATGTCCATCAGGGTACGTTTACTTCTTTCAATTACTCCATTCTGCTGAGGCTATGCCATTCTCCTGTAAGAACCTTACAAAAGGTCTAGGAACTTGGCCATATGGGGTATGCCGACCGTAGTACTCTCCCCCACGATCGGACCTGACTATCTTAATCTTTAAATTATGTTGGTTTTTCAACTTCTACCTTAAATATCTTAAATTTATCCAATGCTTCTGTTATTTCTTTGATTGGATAAATGTAGCCATAACGGGAGTAATCATCTGTGAATGTTATGAACGAATCATAACCATCCACACTCTTTATAGAAAACAGACCACAGATGTCTATGTGAATAATCTGTAAAATTCCTGCGCTTCGTTTAACATCTTTCTTAATTTTCTTTACATACTTTTCTTTTATGCATTCTCTGCATTGTTCTAAATCTGAGAACTCTAA